TGAGAACCGCCCCTTTTATAAGCTGCTCCGGTGCCCCGGGTCAGCTGGAGACCGTCCAAAAGCCGGGTCTGCTGGGGGGGGGGCACACTAGCTGCGCCCCGCCCCCAGCAGACCAGGGACATGGGGAGCAAAGCCGCAGCGGCGGGGTGCCTCGCCTCTGAGGCTTTGCTCTGGCGCGGGACCCACTGCGGCTTTGCTCGCGGTGCCCCTGGTCTGCTGGAGACGGTCCCCAGCAGACCAGGGGCACCGGGAACAGCTTTTCTCGCCCCGGAGGTCGAGATAGCTGACCGCTGCCTTCGAGCTCCGGGGCGAGAAAGCCCCGTTCGTAAGTGCGGATCCGACATAAGTCAGATCCGCGTAAGTCGGGGACTGCCTGTACATTTTTATATACGCAACCTGGCAGGAAAATTGTTCACAAATCTTCCTTGTGACTCTCTTCCCTGGGAGGGTTCAGGGAAGAGCCACATTTCTCTCTGCACTGTGCACTTGTTATTTATCATTCTACATTGGAGGAAACATACAGACGGAGAAGTGAAAGTCTCTAATTAGGACTCTCTCTCTCTCTCTCTCTCCTGCCCCACTCCAGGATGTTCTTTATTTGACTCATTTTGTTTTCAGGGGTTTGGGACTATTTGGGACTATTTTTTCTATCTCCCCTTGGATTTCTTGTTGGAAATTCCCTGTGTGTCTGTAAAGCCTGTAACACACTACAACCCTGTTATCTGAAATCAGATTAAAATCAGGTGTATTTCCCCTTGTTTTTTACCTAAGTCTCTGTCATTTTCCTGTGATGTTTGCTTGCTTTCTTATAGCCACATGCCTTATCCTCACCAAGTGACCTTCTTGAGCATGTCTGCTTCTAGAAACAAAAGAATTGCCAGACTGGATCACAATCAAAACCCAACGGCTGTGTCTAGATTGGCCAGTTTTTCTGGAAAATCAGCCGCTTTTCCAGAAAAACTTGCTGTCTGTCTACACTGGCTGCTTGAATTTCCGCAAAAGCACTGACTTCCTACTATAGGAAATCAGTGCTTTTTGCGGAAATACTATGCTGCTCCTGTTCTGGCAAAAGTCCCTTTTGCGCAAAACTTTTGCGCAAAAGGGCCAGTGTAGACAGCTGAGATTTGTTTTCTGCCAAAAAACCCCGATCGCGAAAATGGCAATTGGGGCTTTTTTGCAGACAAGCGTCCGTGCCAATCTAGACGCTCTGTTCCAAAAATGCTTTTAACGGAAAACTTTTACGTTAAAAGCATTTGCGGAAAATCATGCCAGTCTAGACGTAGCCAACTAGTCTAACATTCAGTCTCTCCAAGGGTGTGTCTAAACTACACGGCTACATCTAGACTACATCCCTTTTCCGAAAAAGGGATGTAGTCTAGACGTAGCCCATGGCTCCATTGATGGAGCCATGTAGATTAGGCTGATCGGCAGAGGGAAATGACTATTTAAATCGCGGCATCATTTAAATATAAATGGCTGCCGCACTCTGCAGACCAGCTGATGATCAGCTGTTTGTTGGCAGATCGGGTCAGTCTGGACACGCCGCAGTTGACAAGGAAGCCTTTGTCGACTGGCGCAGGTATGCCTCGTGAAACCAGCTGGTCGGCAGAGCGCGGCAGCCATTTAAATTTAAATGAAGCCTCAATTATTTAAATCGCGGCTTAATTTCCCTCTGCCCATCAGCCTAATCTACATGGTTCCGTCGACGGAGCCATGTAGTTTAGACACACCCCAACAGTGGTCAGCACCATTTGCTTTGGAACCCTGCAGTAGAATCATAGACTCTCAGAATGCTAGAACTAGAAGGGACCTCGAGAGGTCATCAAGTCCAGTCCCCTGCAGGAACAAGCACCATCTAGCCTTCCATCCACCCCATATTAGATCTGATCCTGGTCTTTAATAGTTGGAGGTTTTCTTAAACCCTGATAGATGAGGTTTAATCTCCAGATTTTTCTTATTAATTATGTTAATGCTGGCTACTTTGATAACCATATAAAGATCCAATCAAGTTCTCATGAGCTTTCCACATACAGCAACTTCCAACAGTTTTATTTTTCTTTTAAATAATCTCATTCCATCTCCTCAATTGATACCAGCAATTTCTTGCTAAAGCAAATTAAGGACACTAGTTGGCTGTGTCTAGACTGGCAAGTTTTTCCGCAAAAGCAGCTGTTTTTGCAGAAAAACTTGCCAGCTGTCTACACTGGCCGCTTGAATTTCCGCAAGAACACTGACGATCTCATGTAAGAAATCAGTGCTTCTTGCGGAAATACTATGCTGCTCCCATTCGGGTAAAAGTCCTTTTGTGCAAAGCTTTTGCGCAAAAGGGCCAGTGTAGACAGCTCAGATTTGTTTTACGCAAAAAAGCCCCGATGGCGAAAATGGCGATCGGGGCTTTTTTGCGCAAAAGTGCGTCTAGATTGGCACGGACGCCTTTCCGCAAAAAGTGCTTCTGCGGAAAAGCGTCCATGCCAGTCTAGACACTCTTTTCCGGAAAAGCTTTTAACAGAAAACTTTTCCGTTAAAAGCATTTGCGGAAAATCATGCCAGTCTAGACGTAGCCGTTAGGATTTTTTTTTCTTTTAGCCAGAAATCAAGCTAATGTTGACTTCATGAGGTGAGATTTAAAA